TGACCTGTGTGTTAGAGTAGAACCCTGCCCCACAGGGTCTCAAGGTCTGTGATCTTTCAGAAGCAGGTAGCCCGATCTTTCTACCAAGTTGCCTCTGGGTGGCTTTGAGCTGCTGATTTTTTGGTTAGCACATGAGGGCTTTAACTTTTTCTACTGCCTAGGGTCTGCTGTCAGGGACCTCTCCAAAGTACTGAAGAGTAATGGTGTCTCTCTGGAAACTAAGGTGCATCTGATACAGGCCATGGTCTTTGTTGTCACTTGTTCTGCATCAGAAAGCTGGACAGTGACTAGGGAGGATGGGAAGGAGAATTGATGCCTTTGAGCTGTGGTGCTGGAGAAGAGTATTGAGAATACCATGGACTGCTAGGAAAACAAACAGATTTGTCCTGGAAAGGGTTAAACCGGGTGGCTCCTTGGAGGCAAGGATTCTGAGGCTCCATCTATCATAGTTTGGACTTGTTGTAAGTAGGGACTGGTCCTTGGAGAGGGACATCATGCTTGGTAGGGTGGAGGGACGGTATAGGAGGGGAAGACCCTCTATGAGGTGGATTGATTCAGTGACTGGGGTAATCAGGATGGGAGTGTCAGAGACACAGGCCAGAGCAGAGTTTAGGGCTGTTGTACATAGGGTCGCTATGAGTCGCAAGCGACTCGACGGCACATAACAACAACAACAACTGCCCAGGGACTCCTTAGGGAATCCTTGTGGTATGGTGAGCTCAGCTTTGGACTGCTAACTGTGAGGTCACTCGTTCAAATCCACTAGCCGCCCTTTGGGAGAAAGAAGATTCAATGTACTTTCATAAATATTCTAATTCCCCCAACATCCCCCTCCAAACTAACTGCTGTTGAGTCTGTCTGACTCACAGTTATACCCCCGCTCACCCTCCACCTTCAGGACTCCTTTCTGTAAAGATTATAGCCTTGAAAGTCCCAGGCCAGTTCTACTCTGTCCTCTAGGGTCACTGAGTCAGCATCCACTCGGCAGGAGGAGCTGTGCTCCTTCTCAGCAGGCATGTTGTTAGATGCTGTGGAGGCGACTGTGACTAATAGTGACAGGCACAGTACTAGATATTTTACCTACATTTCCTCCTTTAACCCTCAACAGCTCTCTAAGGTAAACCCAAAACAAAATAATACGCTAAAGTACTCCCGTGCACTTCTGTAGAGGGGGCCGGCATCCTGGGAGTGTCCACCAGAACTGCTCTGAGGGTTTTCAAGACCGTGACCTTTCGGAAGTGGATCGCTAACCTTTCCATTGTTGCTGTGCACTGTGGAGTAGGAGCTGACTCACAGCTGACCCTCCGGTGGCTTTTCAGAGGCTGTAAACTGCCTGGGAGGAGACTGCCCATCTATCTCCTGTGGGGCAGCAGGTGGATTTGAATGGTGCGCCTTTGAGTCGGCAGCACAGCTCCTTACCACCATGTGCTTAAGGTGTCGCTCCACTCAAGGACTCCAAAATAGAGAATGTTGTTGTTATTAACTGTTTTGGGATAGATTTTCAACTCACAGCAACCACATATTAAGGACTGAGCTACTGCCTAGGTTTTCTTGCAAACTTGAGCCATAACCTCTACCGAAGCAGGTTCCCAAGTCTTTCTCTTAAGGAGTCACTGAGTGGATTCAAACCATCAACCTTTTGGATGGCAGCCAAGGGCTTAATTTATACCATCAGATCCCTTAAAGTAATAATATCCACTGTTATATAGTCTATTACAACTCATAGTGACCCTCTAGGACACAGGAGAGCTGCCTAAGTGTCCCCAAGGCTGTTTGGTGGCTTCTTGTTATGCTCCATCGAGTTGACTACAACTCACAGCAACCTCATGAACAATGGCTGAACCTTTTCCTTTCCTGAGCCAGCCTCACCATCTCTGACATATGTGATCCCATTGTCACAGTTGCTGCCAACCCAAAAGTATGGGGTTCAAATCCACTAGTTGTTCTGCGGGGGAAAGATGCGTAATCTTCTCCTGTGTGATTTATTGCCTTTGAAAACCCACTGGAGGGTCAGCTAGGAGTTGGTTCTGACTTGACAGTACACAACCACAATAACATCTTTACAGCAGCATATTGGTATGCCTTTCTCCCTCGATGTGGCTGATGGGTTAGAACCATCCACCTTTTGGTCAGCAACTGAGTACTTCATCACTGCTGCTTAGGGTAGATAATGGTTCCATTCAAATCATAGTGTCCATATGGGTCACAGAGGATCAGTGACTTGCCTGAGGTCACTCAGCCTGGAAAGGGCTGGCTGTATCAGGTTTCTAGATAGTTCTTTTAATCCCAAATGCAGGAGTTTCCACAGTGGCCTTTCCAGTCCTGGGCTCCAGCTGAGAATGTGCTTCCTGGGGTGTTGGGATGAGGGACCCTGCCTGACAGGGAGAGTTACAGTCTGGTGGGGGTGCTGCTCCCAGCAGAGCTTGGTCTTTGATGGGGGAGTCTAACTTTGATCTCCTTTTGAAGTCCTGGCCTCTGGAACCACCAACTTCAGTGGGGAGAGTGCTGGGAAAGGGGGAGATGAAAGGGCAGGAGAAGCCAAAATGGCAGAGGGAAAGGGGGTGCAGAGAGGCAGAGAGGGTGGGGGCAGAGGAGACAGAAGAGAGAGAAGCAGATGTGTGAGGAGAGCAGGGAAGAAGGCAGCTGGTGTGAAGGAGAGTGAGATGCTGGTGGGAAGGAGGGTGGACAATGCCAGGGGATGGGAGGAGAGACACAGGGCTGAGGGTGCCCTGGAGGGCAGGGGGGTGAGAAGACAGGCCTGGGGAGAGGGCTCAGCTTCCAGGCTCTTCTGTTCAGGAATCCAGGCTTTGGGATCCACAGTACTCCCTCCATGCCCCCAGTCCCCCCTCCCCTCAACCAGCTCTTCTATGGCTCATTATTGGTGTCTAATTGTCCAGAGGGGCCAGCAGGTTTCTAGCTGTGGCCTCATGCAGACATCACATGGCCTGAGGGGTGGGATTGGGATGTGAGGCATCGCACTTAGGGGACCCTGGTCTTGGCCTGCACCCCAGTCCAGGAGCCAAGACAGGGAGGGAGGAGGGAAGGAGTCGGCCCAGAGGCCTGCACCTGCTCCTGTCTGACATCCCTGTCCTTCCTGAGGGGCTGGAGTCACAGGCAGTGAAAACATCCAGTGGGAAGGGATGGGCTGGGGCTCTAATTCCCCCATTTCCCTCCTTCCCCACTGAGGGCTCCCTCTCCAGCTCAGGATGAAGCCCCACCTCCACGATACCCCACCTCTACCCCTCCTGTCCACCCTGACCCAGCACCTTACAGATCCTGGCCCCAAACCCAGGCCTCCCAGAGGCCCAGGATGGTGCTGTTAGCTCTGCAGGTGGGAAGGTTTACAAGGGGTGGGGTGGGGTAGGGCTCAACACCCCCCCACCCCATCCCTCACCCCCATGAAAGCCATGAGGGAGGAAGCTGAGCCTCTCCCTTCCCTGGGTTTCTGCCAAGGGCGCCCAGGATGACACCCAGCCCAACACTGTACTTCAGAGAGGCCGGGAGGGCTTCCAAATTAGGATTTATGGGATTAATGACTTTTTTTTCTGTCCCTCAGTCTGGCTCCCCTACTCTGAGCCCCACACCCTTTTCCTGCTGGGCCTCCCCAGGGCCTAGACCTCACAAGAAGGCTCTGTAGTAGTGGGGCGGCTTTTCCTAGTTTTTGGGGGTGGGGAGGAGGAATGGGGTGAGACACTCCAGTCTGTCGACCAGCCCCCGCCTCCTGGTCACAGCACTAGGCCCCTCCAAGGCGTAGGACAAGCCGGAGACGGATGAGGAAGGCCGGTTTCAAGGCCAGGCTACGTGTCTCTGGCTGGTGGCCTTGAGGGAGCCCCTGGATTGTCCTCCACACCTGACGGGTTAGTACAAGGAGCTGGGATGACAAGTTGTGAGTCCAGGAGATATCAGAAATGCAGCGGCTGTGCAGAGCAGCGCAGGGGGCAATGGGTCTAGTGCTCAGCACCCTGCTGATTCCCAGGCAGCCCCTGGGGTCTTCCTACACCAGCGCTCACGGGCGCTGTGGACTTATACTCTGAAGCAAACTTAATGCTTTAGCAGCCACTTTAACTCCCCTGGCCAGCTGCACCTTCTCCACCCTGCTCTGTCTCGGTCCTTCCCCACCCTGCTCCAAAACCAGCTCAAGCACCAGAGCTCCTTGTCACTATCCACAGGCGTGAACCCTTTGGTCTGAGTGTCTAGCCCCTCCTTCTGGACCTCAGCTGGAGGGTCTGAAGCTTCATTAAAGCCTTTGAGAGGCCCTGGTCTCACCCCCTTGAGTCACTATCTGTATTCTCTGTCTTTGAGTCTCTGTGCAATTTGCATTATCTTCCAGGGACTCAGCCTGTAGACAGAATCCTGCTCCCCTCTCTCCCTGTAGAGCCTGCCACACTGCTTTTTTAGCTCAGAGATTCTGGGGCCTTGAGCCACCCTCTCCAGGGTAAGGACCTTGCCTTGGCCTGCCTGAACTATGAGCCTTCAGCACTGTGACTGGGAAGAGATGCTCAATTGAGATCAGCCAAGTTGAGGGGGGCCAAGTGGAAGTGTGGGTGTGAAGTGGAGCCCTAGGTGTCAGGTGGGTGGACTCTAAGGGACCGTCTATAATACAAGAGTGAGGTAGCTCCAGGGAGAGGTGTGTGACCACTGGGACCTGTAGAAGGATGAATGAGGATTGTTGGAGCTGGAAGACCCTCCAGAGGTCATCAGGTCAACCTCTTCATTTCACAAATGAAGAAAACTGAGCTCAGAGGGGGGAAGATTTACTCAAGTAATAAGGAAGCAGATGGCAGGAGTGAGAGTACTTCCTAGCTCTCCTGCCTCCTGCATGCCTCACCTCGGTCCACCTCCTCTACCTTTTCCACTGCATCCTGTCAACCCTCTGTGCTTTGGGAGTACATTCACTGAGGGATGATGAGGGGAGCTGGCAGAATGCAAGAAGGTGGACCAGGTGTACCTGGAGTTCAGAAGCAGAAGGGGCCCCTAGAGGGTCATATGCTAAGGGGGGCCCAGCTGGATGGTGGCATATTCCACAACCTCTCCTGGCTCTGGCTTGGTGGTCCGAGGCCCTGGCACGGGTCTCAGGGCGGAGGTGTCCAGCTCTGCATAGTAGATGTCAGTGTCCTTTAGACCAGAGTCCTAGGGATTGATCAGAGCGGGGGTGGAGGGAGTGATGACAGGCAGAGGAGGGGAGTAATAATATAAGAACAGACAAGGATGGAGATGAAGCACCCCAGGGCCAAGAGTCAGGATGAGATGAAGAGGTAGGAGGGTGAGGTGGGTACATGAGGGAGAAAAGGGGACCGTGGAGGAGACACAGAGAGAAAGAAAGAACCAATTGGTCAGTAACAGCACAGAAAATTGGTGTTAAGTAAAGGTATTTACAAAACCTAGCCAAAGACATTCATATGTTCAGATAAGCTATGTTCCCTTGGCCACGAGGGGCCTGGGACTGGGTGGGCAGAGGTATGATGGGTCTCATTCCTGGCTTCTAGAAGTCATTCTCATTTTGCAGGAGGAAGAAACTGGGGTTTAGAGAGGGAAAGAGACTTGCTGAAAGTGGCTGGAAGAGTGGCAGTGGCCTAGGATGGAACCTGGAGTCTAGAACGCTGATGTTTAAGCCAACAGAGATCAACCTTCCTGCAAAGCAGTGCCTGAGGGAGAGGTCAGGGCTCACACGGGCCAAGGTAGCAGCAAGAAGGCCACCATGCCACTGGGCTGAGTCACATGGTCAGTAAGGAAGGCCAGGTGTCCTGATTTCAATTGCCCCCAAGCAACGCCCATCTCGTGCCCATCAGTGACCACAGGCAGGGACACATCACAGGGCTAAGATTAGAGCAATTAGTTCCTGATTTCTCAGAGGTGAAGAATCACACCCTGACACCTTCTCCTCCCTCAACCCCCAGTGCTTCCAGAACCTGCCTGCAGATGGGGGTGAGGGTGGAGGAAACATCCCTTTTCCAGATGGAACCTTGAGGAAGAGGTTGGGGGTACAGGAGATGACACAGAAGGAAGGAGAAGGGGGGCTGATTCTACAGGGGGTTTAGATGCAATCCCACATCCTGAAAGTCTGTGAGGGTGTCTGATGGGTGGGAACGTGTGGAAGAGACAGACAAAGCAGTGTGAGTGTCAGGTGCTGTGAGGAAAGGGCCCCAAGGAGGTGGCCAAGCCTCATCTTTTCTTCAAGGGCCCCAGGGGCTTGGGAAAGATGGCTGCCACCGTGGGATGATATGAAGACCATCCTGCAGAGGCAGGGGGATGGACACATTGACTGTCCTCATTCTATCCACCAGGGGTGTGGCAGGACAGAATAAACCCACCTCCTGCCCTTCTCATCATCACAAGGATGCCTGAAACAGGTGCTTCAGATGTGTGGGAAGAGGGGGAGTCCCAAAGCTCCAACCCCACTGGTTACCACTGAATCTATTTACTGGTAGGCAATTAGACTCCAGATAACTTCTCCACATGGACCTTCCCACCTGGAGGTAGGAGCTATTTGTAACTCAGCCTTGACCTTAGCAAGGCCAGGGAGACTGGGAGTGGTGGCAAAGATGATTCAGGAGCTTCTCACCCAAATAGATGGAAAGAAGTTCTTTAGTTTATTTTCTAGGTTCTGCGTGGGAGAGGACCAGGGAGCCCTGGGTACAATGCCTTTAGCCTTAATAAGAATATGTCCCTAGGAGAGCAAGAGGACAGGGACCCGAGAATATTGCTTGACGTGGGGAATGCCTTGAAGATGGGTAAGGTTGCCCCAGCTTGTAGGCCAGGTCAAGTCAAATCAAGGCATTGCCATGGGGTTGGAACCGACTCATTGCTGACCCTCTTAGTGGGTTTCCCAGTGACTATAAATAAATCCCATGTTGTTGCTGCTGCTAGGTGCCATAGAGTTGCCTGCAACTTACAGCAACCCTGTGTACAGCAGCTCTGAAGCCTGCCCTGTCCTGATCCAGTCTCCCTGATTCTGCCCCAGTTACTGTATCAATCCATCTCATCTGGAGTCTTCCTCTCCTGTGCTGTCTGTCCCTCCTTCTGAACATAATGTCCTTCTCCAAGGATAGGACCCTCCTGGGAGTCACTAATGGATCTGAACTGCCAGAGAAGCACCACCTCTGGTTTTAGAAGGGCACCTCCCTACGGACTGTGCCAGCAGAGCTCCGCTGAAGGGTAGGTATGGCCCACTTACGATTCCTCCCAATGTCCTGAGGGGGAATTGCATGCTGGACAATAAATAAGGATGACAGAGGGAAAAATTGATGGTGTTTGAACTATGATGTTGGAGAAGAGTATAGCATATCTCATGGACTGTCAAAGGAGCAGATATGTTTTGGAGAAGATACGGCCAGAGTGCTCCTTGGATGGTGAAACTTACTTCGGGTAAGTTGCTAGGAAAGGCTGTTCCTTAGAGAAGGACGTCAAGCTTGTAAAGGTGGGTGGTGGCTAAGGAGAGGAAGAGCGTCAACCATGTGGATTGGCATGGTGACTGCAGCAATGGGCTTGAGTGTGTCTGAGATGGTGAGGACGACACAGGACAGCACAGGGCTCAGATCTGTTCATAGGGTCGCTATGAATCTACTCGACTAAATGGCACCTAACAACAACAACAACCCTCAACCTAGGGCTCTATGGAGTGGAGGGTCTCCATTATACTATTAGCTAGAGCTGCATCCTAGACACGTGGGCTCCCAGTCAGGCTTCTCCTACATGGTGAGGGTCAGAAGACGTCTGTATGGGGTTCCAGTGATCTGTTTTGGCACCTCTCCCACTTTGACTGTGGTCACATGTGGTAACCCTGGTCTGATAATCAAAGGTCAACCCGTTAGGAATGAGGATTTGGGCCCCACTGCAATCAGTAAACTACCAAGAGCAGCTGCAGTGATGGCTGAGGGTGAGGGTCTGATGACTGAGGGTGAGGGTCTGTGGAGTGGACAGGGAAAAATGGGAAGATGAAATCAGCTGAAGCATCAGCCCCTGGAGTCTCTGTCCTGGATTGAGGTCCACCAGGGCTGTAGAGGAGCTGCCCCCGAGACTGATGGGGAAGCAGGTCCTCCTGCTCTCTCTCCTGCAGCAGGGGCACCATTGATGGACAGCTCCAGCTGCCATCCCTCTGGGTCCACAGAGAACACACTTTCCCCTGATCCCAGCCAATCATTGAAGACGATGCACTCAGTGTGGGAAGGGAGGGTTCTGGGCGGAGGGGAGGGGGCACTCCTGTGGGATCCAGGTCTCCTCTAAGGGGCAGCAATGGCCCAAGGACGTTTTAAAGACCTGATCAAAACTTTTTAGGAGTGAGCTGTAGTCTGAGACTTCCTACTAAATCCTCCTTCCTCCCCACTCTCCTTTGCCAGGTGTCAGACCTATTACTGCTTCCTCCCATGGCCTTCTCTCAGGGTTCTTCCAGTGAGTCTCTTACTCCTCGGGAGGACCTGAAGTGACGGAGCTGCCAGGATTCCATCCTTCCAAGGCCACGCCTCTGCTTTTAGCCTGGGCTAGTGGTCCTCACAAAACTGAGGAGATGGAAGCCAGTCTCTCCTTAAAAGTGAGGCAGTGTCTCCTCCTCCCTCATCATCTAGACATTTGTTTTGGATCTTCTCTGAGTTCTCACTTAGTATTTGCTCGCCAAAGAGCACCTACCCCTTGAAATGACTCCCAGAACAGAAAACCTGGCACAGATGGAAGGGAGCACTGTGGCTTTAGTTAGAATCCTTGGACAAGTTTCAGCATGGACCTGACCTACCCCACCAGGGCCCTGGGCCCACCCACGCTGGGGCCACCGAACTTGGACAGCCCTCTGGTTGTTGGCCACTGCAGGCTTCTCACCTGCTTCGGGGCCCTGCATGGAGAACAGCACTCGCTTGCTGCCTGGCTGCCTCTCACTCCTTGTTGGGAAGGAGAATTGATGACAACATCAATGATGTGACTTATATACAAACTGCCCCGCCAACAAACCGACTGTTGGGGATAAATCCTTTTGTGGCCTAATTATTACTCTGTAAACTCAAAGAAGTGACACCTCTTTTGGCACCAGTGTCAGAGTCTCCCCAGGACACCAGAGATTCCCTTCTGCTGAGTCCCACCCTCTAGTGACCTCCACATGCTGCCCCACAGCCATTCTCTCACACAGTGCCCTAGCTGCAATGGCCCTGGATTCAAGACACTGTGTGGCCTCTCCTGACCAGGGCTGCTGGGGAGAGGTGGGCTTACTCTGCTCTTTGACCCAAATGGCTCTTGTGCCTGGGACAAGCTCACTTGGAATTACCATCAGTCCAGCCTGAGCAGAGCCCAGGAAGGGAAGGCTGCTAGGCCGAGGTTTGGGCCACACGCTGCTATTAGGAGGTAGGGCAGGCGTGTGTGTGGAGGAGCCGGGTGGGGGGCTGGCCTGGAGCTGCCAGGCTTGTCCTGGCTCCTCCTGGGGCCCCCAGGGAGGGTTGTGCATGCCAGACCGAGGGGGCAGCAGGCTGAGCGGGAGAAGTCGTTTAGTGGGGATTAGGGCCAGCTGCAGCTGTCCCCTTACATCACTGCGATTTTTATGCCGAGCCATGGAAAGTTTCACAGAGGATCTTGTTAGAGGCTCACAACTTTCCAAATTGCTAACTTCCATCACTCTACTTCTTCATCAGTGCTTCCTGCCCCCTCCACCCCATCCTGGCTTTCCCGTGCCCACCCCTTCTCTTCCCCACCCATGCTTTCCCATCTCCTCCCCCTCTCCTTTCCTTCTCTTTTCCCCCAGGCTCTGACAGGTGGGTTTGGCTGATTTGAAGAATTCTGAAGGAGGCATGGCTTTCTCTTTTGTGGGAACACAGAGGCCTTCTTACTCCATGCCACCCCACTTTATCTCACTCATTTTCATCCTTGTAGTTACAAATATCTCCTACCCTTGGTCAAACTCTCACTGAAACAGACAGGGGTGGATGAAATGGTCTTGTCAGGTGGCTGACTGTAGCCCTGCCTGACACCTGTTAACTGGACAAAGTGATGCCCCTGTCCCTGGCCTCTAGACTCTGAATTCAGGTTCTCAGGACACCCCTCCCCATTTTCTGCTCCCTAGAGTCCAGTCACAGTCTTTCCTAAAAGTTTCAGGAGCTCCGTCTGGGAGACTGCATTATTAGAGGGAGAATATTGTTTCCTGTTGGGGTCAGATCACGATGGGCCACAGATCAAGTTGCTGTGCAATGGGCATGTGGCCCTTGTTTATGAAGGCAATTGATGGACCAGTTTGCAGTCCTGGGCCCTGGAGCTGAGGGGCAGTGGGCAGCTGAGGCCAGTCATGCTGCCGCACACAGCAAAGCTGAGCCTGCTGAGGGCTCCACACTGGCTGGTGCCCTGCACTGAGGCTCTTTAAGGCCCTCTGCAGGCTCTTTGGTCTTCACAAAAACTCCCAACATGTCTGATCGTTCAGTAGTCAGTGCATGGTTAGATGTTGAACTTGAGAGTCAGAGGAGCAAAAAAAAATGTTAAGCCCTATATTAGTCCCATTTAGCAAGTCTGCTGTCAGGGACCTCTCCAGATTACTGACTGAGGAGTGATGATGTCAGTTTGAAGACTGAAGTGTGCCTAAGACCCTGATATGGTCCATCACTTGCTATGCATCTGAGAGCTGGACAGAAAATAAGGGTGGCAGATGAAGAATTGATACTTTTGAGCTGTGGTCTTAGTGAAAAGTACTGAGTATCCCATGGACTGTCAAAAGAACTAACAGGTATGTCTTAAAGAAGGTGCAACCAGAATGCTCCTTGGAGGCAAAGTGATTCAGGCAAGCCTCTATTTTTTTTCCCTTTGTGCAAATACACACAGCAACAAATATGCCAATTTAGCAACTTCTATATGTGTATTTTAGGACCACGGATACCATTCTTCCATGGTGTACAACTGTTCTCGATATCCTTTTTCAAATTATTCCTTTTCTGCTGTGCAAGCCTCTTAATGACTCTTAGCGTTGGCTTCCTCATCGATAAAATGAGGACAGCATAGAACTTATTGCACAGGTTGCCATGAGGATGAAGTGGCAGCACGGTTAAGTGTTGGCTGCTAAGCACAGTGGTGGATGTCTGAACCTACCTAGCAGATCCGCAGGAGAAAGACATTGGGATGGGCTCCTAGGAAACCCCATGGGACAATTCCACCCTGTCGGCATGTGGCTATAAGTCAGAGTTGACTCAATGGCACAGTTCTTGCTGTCTGAACCAGCATGGAAACTGGGCAGCAGGAGAGGGCACCCTCCAGTGGAAGAATGGCATCGGGGCTGCCCAGTTACAGTCTGAGGAATGGACTTGTGTCCTCACTGAGTTCCCAATCACTTCTGAGTTTCTAGGTTGAGGAATAACAGGTGACTGGTGGTCTTCTTGCCCCTGGACAGCAGCAGGTGGTGGGAGGCTGGGCTGATCCCTGGGCTCAGCACTGTGGAAAAGGAAGGCTACCTCCCCGGGAGCCAGCTTTGGCATCTCCAGATGGGCCCATGTTGGCACGTCTCGCCAAGAGGGAGGATGGTTGTGCTGTGGAGACAAAGCCTGGCTTTCCCATGAATGCCAGGAGAAGGTGTGTTATCTTCAGGTCCAGGCCATCTGGCCTCGGTCTCTGGGCTGGTGCCACATGGGTACCACCTCCAGTCCCCAAGTTTGATGAAAGGAGTGGGCTATGGGTAGAGGTGGCAGCCATTCAAATGAACACCAGCACTCTGGGCAGCTGGGCGTGGGGCCAGGAGGAGGAACTGTGACTGGCTTTCTAGTGGTCATTGGCAGGACCAAGGAGCAGGGGCAGGGTGCAGAGCTGGGAAGTGGAGCTTGGGGGAGGAAGAGCAGGGCATCAGCTGGGGTTCAGCTTTATTGAAAATCCTACCTTCCTATCTTTCATCCAATAACTCCGTTTTCCTGAAGATCCATAGCAGTCACATGCAGGGCCCCGGCCTTCCTGCTGCTCTGCCCCTGCTCCCCATGCTGGGTCCCTTGAGGCCTCCCTGCACCCTCCCTTCCCCTGCCTCCTCATCTTCTTTTGTCCTCTTTCCCGCTAAAGCAAGTGGGCACAAGGCCAAGCTGGGAGGACCTGGATTGGGGACACTGTCCTAAATGTTCAGCCATCCTTACCAAGGGGCAGTAGGCGGGGGAAGCCCCGAGGTCATAGTAGGGGGTCTGTGGGGACAGCTTCTGCAGCTCCTCCTCTTCCTGCTGCGTCCCTGGGTGCAGGTGTTGAACCTGTAAGAGAAGGGAGTGAGCAGCTGCGTGGCCTTTCCCATGCCCCTCACTACAGGCAGCCCGCTCCCTCGGCGTGGCGAGATTCTCCAGGAATTGACCACAGTGGCTGGGGCGGTTCAAGTGCAGCCTGAGGTTTTGCTTTGCTAGATCACCAGTGGTCAGCAAGCACTCAGTAGTATGATTATTTTTATAAAAAAATGTGGGAATGCCCTGAGGTGGAAGAAGAGACTCCGCAGAGGGTCCCAGGTGGGAACAATCTTAGTAAATTCTCAGGTATAGTGGGGTAGCCTGGACCTAGGCTTCTTCCTGGGGCCAGACTTTGTGGGGGCCGACCAGGGCTAGGGGTGTTGCGGAAGCTGTCCTGGGACCTGTGGTGGAGGAAGTCTCTGCCTTCAGGTTGTACCCTCTCTTTGGTGTCATGTCCTGCTTTTTCTCCCCAGCCTCCAGGCTCGGGACCTTGTTCTCTGCTGCCCCAGACCCACCTGAATGTCCTCGGGTGTGAGGTGGCTTTGTGTGTCGGGAGGAAACTCCAACTTCTGGGAGGGGACTGGGTCATTCCTGAGGGAAGAGGAAGACAGTGACGAGGGCTCTGCTCCCAGACAGCGTCCGGAGTGGTCAGAGCTTGGGATGCGGAGACTCAGCAGATGGGGGTGGGAGTTGAGAGCGCCCCCCATCTCTCCCAGGTATCTCACCCTCAGCCTGGCTCTCTAGCTCTCTAGATGTAAGGACAGGTAGTCCAGGTCATGTGCTGGGGCCCCCTCGCAGGGCCAGAATGAGGTGAGGCCACTGAGGCCCCCGTCATCGCGAGAACCTCAGTAATAAATCATGATTCAGTGCAGTAATTTTTAAAAAATAAGATTAATTAAAAAAACTATGATAAACTATCCAAATTTGACATAAAGATGCAGTCACAATTGAAACTGAGGCAAAAGAAAAAAAAATCAGTAAAGCTGATCCTTCCTTTTAAAGAAAAGCTTAAGCAGCTTTAGATTTTAAGCAATCTTCAGGGTTTGGTAAAGAGCCCTGTGGTGTAATGCATAAAGTATTGAGTTGTTTACTGAAAATCTGCAGTTCAAATCCACCAGCTGCTCCTCAAGGGAAAGACAGGCAGTTTTCTGAAAAGATTGATGGCCTTGAAAATCCCTTAGAGGGTCAGTATGAGTCAGAATGGACTCAATGTCCATTGCATGCTTTGCTGCTCACCCAAAGGCCAAGCAGCTTCAATGGTTTGAATCCACCAGTGGCTCTGCAGGAGCTAGACATGTAGTCTTCCCTTGTTAAGACTTACAGCCACATAAACCCAACACAGGGTCACTATGAGTTAAATCTACCTGACTCAGTGGGGTTTTTGGTTAAGGGTCCATATCCTGCCCTTAGAACGTGTTCCTGCCTCCCATCTCACAGGGGGCAGGGAGATGCCTGAGACCTGGGGGATTGACAAGTCACACAGTTCAGCATGTTCTCACTTGAGGCCTGAGAGAAGGGATGGGGTGGGGTGGGGGGTTAGGCTCGTTCCCACTCACCAGTTACTGTCTGTCTCCAGCCTGCCTTTTCGCTGTTGGTGACACAAGAAGAAGACAGCAAGAGTCACCCCAAGGATAAGTGCCACAGTCATAGTGCCCCCCAGGAGCCTGGCTGCACTTCCTGAGTCCTGAGGGAGGGGCTTTTCTGGAACCAAGATAGAGGCAACAATCAGAGAGACAGATGGATGGATGGATGGATGGATGGATGGATGGATGGATGGATGGATGGACAGACACATAGAGCCAGGGAGAGAGTCATAGCATTGGTCAGAGGTAGCCAAAAGCAAGAGCATCGGACTCTGAGTCAGTGCTTTCAGCACCCCCTCCTCTCCCATGCCCTCCACTGAGGTCCAGTTCTGGGCCTGGCCATCCCAATTAGGGTAGGACAGGACCTCACACTGGCTCCCCACAGCCACCTAGCCCTAGAACCCACGCTTCCCCAGGATCTGGGACACAGAGTAGGGTGGAGTAGGGAAGGGTAGGGACACAGGGCAGGAGGAGGGGTGCTCAGAGACCTGCACCCTTACTCCCTGATTTCATCTCTGGCCCTGCAGGAAAGATTCCTGGTGAGGAGTTTAATTTCCTTCGCCTCCCTACCCAATTAAACAAGCAAATGAACTAATTGGTGCTTTGCCCTCTCAGCTCTGGAAAGAGGGCGAGGATCAGAGGAAAGGAAGATGGAAACAGTGAGACTGGGTGGCATGGACTGGGGAGGGGCTCCTTTGGGGAAACTTTTGCTCCTGTACAGAGAGGATGCAGAGGACCAGGAGCCCACTTTGTCTGCACCCTCAGGCCCTTGCCCCAGGTGCATTTGCCCAATGGGAGAGAATGGGCCTGAGGTGGTGGGGTCCCATGGTTGAGTCTTCTGCTCAATTTCTCTGGGCTTCAGAAATGAAAGGGCCTGGGTGTTTATGGGGTTCTGAGCGGGAGTTCCCGGACCCTGTAGAGAGGAACACCACAAACCACAGTGTGGGAGCCTGCAGCCAGGGGCATGTGCTGCTTGCTGGTTACTGTGCTTGCCAAGGCTTGAACGAGCCTAGAGGGTGAAGAGCCATTGCAGCCCTCCCCATGCTGGGCTCCTTTTCTCTGACCTTTATAACACCAGAGAAAGCGGCACCAGGGACTGAGTTGACAATCACATCGAGTCCTCTCCTTCCCCTCCCCACTACCATATTACATATAATTAAACACGTAGAGCACCTGAATAGGGATGCTAAATTGCAGTTTGCAATAAACATCATGGAGCCAATTTCCTAGCAGCGGAATTGACAAGTGCCTGCTTCTCTCTCAGCCCTATTCCAGGGCCCTAGACGCGGGGGCTCTGGCAGAGAGCTCAGGCAAGTCTGGTTCCCAAGTGAGTCTGACACATTGTTCTGGGCCAAATCCTCCCTGCAAAGTGTTGGCCCCAGCATCCACCCTTCTGTTTGTCCTTCCATCCATCCATCCATCCATTCCCCACCTTCAGCTGGCCTGGGTCCCTAGGGAGGGGGCCTGGGTGGTCTCTAGGGGCTGACTCTGTATGTCCCTTGTGTTGTATCTATTTGTTTAGTCAGCTTATGGTAACTCTGTGCTCCGTGGAGCAAAATACTGCCTGGTTGTGTCTCATGATTAGTTGTGGATTGGACCATTATGATCCATAGGGTTTTCCCTGCTATGTTTTCAGAAGGAGATTGCCAGGCCTTTCTTCCTAGTCCATCTTAGTCTAGAAGCTTCTTGAAAACCCAATCAATGTCATAGTAACATGTAAGCTGAAGCAGACAGTGATTAAGCTTGGGATGCATTACTGGGAATGAATTGCATAGTGGAAATTCCTCCTCTGAAGCACCACTGCTCCACCACCCCACCCCATTTATCTTAGGGACTCCTTGGACTCTCTACACACATACAGTCTCTCTAGGCTGGTTTCTCAGACATCTTGGGTGGAGATACTGTAATCTGTTGGCAAAGCTTTCACTCCTTTCTCTACACCTTAACATCCACTCTAACTTCCTCTTCTTAACCTCTTCTTTTGTTATACTCAAGACTTCCTGCTGTGCCCCAGTAACCTCACAAATCGTAACCTACTTATGACTTGGGTTGAGCAAATATTCCTTGTGCATGTCTCTGTTCCAGGCGCTGAGCAAGCACAAGGCGTCAGGCAAAGACTCTGCCTCTGGTTTCCATTGTGCCTTGTTCTCTGTGTTTCTGCTTCCTGAACAACTTTCCAATATGGCTACTTCTCTTCTTCTCCAGGGCCAATGCCCTGGTCCAAGCCACCATCATCACTGTTCTGACAATCTACTTAATCTACTCAACTTCAATCATGTCCTCTCCAACCCTTTCTTCAGCCTTAGCCTGTTTCAGAGGAAGTGCAAAAAGGGTGCTCCCTGGAGGCAAGGACGGTTGCCTGGACCCTGTTGTCAGGAGGGGCCAGTCCTTGGATAAAGACACCATGCTGGGAAAGGAGGAGGAACAGCCAAAGAGAGAAGATTGTCAAGGAGTTGGATGGACACAGGGACTGCAACACAGGCTTGAGTATGTGAAGGACAGAGCAATGTTCCTATCTGTTCACAGGGTCTTTATGAGTCACAGTCAATTTTATGGCACCTAACAATGATGTGTGATCTTTTTCAGATCCAAATCTGATCAGGCTATATCTCTGCTTAAAATCCTCTGATACTTCCTTATGGCCTTCTTTCACTGACCCTCATGTTCCCAGACTTGGCCAGTATGTTCTTACCTGACCCCCACTCATTCTGGAGGCAACATCCCAATACTTTAACTGCTCAGCCTCCCGAAGCCAGCCTGGACCACTCGGGTCCCAGGCAGTGAGTCCCTGGCTCCTCTCAGTGCAGGTTTTCATTGTGGCTCCTCCCTCTCTCTGCCAGGGTCTTTCCTTTCTATATATTCCTCGCCAGGCCAACCCACCCTCCAGGTTTAAGCTGCTCTGGGAAGCTTCCTAGCACCATGAGAGATTAGAGGTCTTTTCTAGTCGGCAGACCCAGGGATTAGGAGTTGTACTGCTCACTGAAAGGCACGCGATTCAAATCCACCAGCTGCTGTGAGGGAGCAAGATAAGCAATCGCCTCCTGAGTGATTTACAGCCTCAGAAAACCTGCTGGAGGGCCAGCTCTGAGTTGCTTCTGACTCAGTGCACATAGCAACAAGTCTGACTTATTTTTGCCTGTCTCCCCAGCCCCCGCTGTGGCAGGTGTTCAGAATACAGAAGGTACACAGGAAGGGTGTGATGAATGAATGAGTGTGCAGTAGGCAGTTCTGGTAGAGATCTTCCTGCCCTCTGAATCACACCCTCCAGTTGGAGGTGCTCTCACCTTGAGTACACAGATCTCAAAGTTGGAACCTGGAAATTCTATTTCTCTCTGAAGATCTGGTTGTTGCTCTGTAACATCAAGTCAGAACCCACCCATAGCTGACCCTACTTTACTTTCAGAGGTAGAAGACTACATGGAAAGAGATTGCCCGTCTTTCTCCCCTAGACAGGTGGTGGATTTAAACTGTGTACTTTTGCACTGGGAGCATAATTCCATACTACTAAACCAGGAAATTAAAAGATGAATTGCATTGGGAAAGTCTACTGTCAGAGACCTCTCCAAAGTATTGAAGAGCAACAATGTCAGTCTGGAGACTAAAGTGCTTCTGATACAGGCCATGGTCTTTGCAATTAGTTGCTATGCATCGGAAAGCTGGACAATGACTAGGAATTGTAGAAGGAGAATTGATGCCTTTGAGCTGTAGTGCTGGAGAAGAGTATTGAATATATACCATGGACTGCTAGGAGAACAAACAAGTTCGTCCTACAGAGGGTGAAGCCAGGTTGCTCCTTAGAAGCAAGGATACTGAAGCTTCATCTGACATGCTATGTGCATGTTGCAAGGTAGGATCAGTCCTTGAAGAGGGACGTCATGCTTGGGAGGGTAGAGGACAGCACAGGAGAGGAAGACCCTCTATGAGATGGATTGATTCCGTGAATGGGGTAATGGGAGTAGGTATGTCAGAGACAATAAGATTGGCAATGGATAGAGCAGGGTTTAGGGCTATTGTTCATAGGGTCGCTGTGAGTCACAGGCAACTCGACAGCACATAACAACAACAACAACAGCAAGCCACCAGAGCTCCCTATGGAAGTCTGGACCCAACTCAAATCTATTTAT